ACTTGTATGTTACTATTTTACGTATAGGCAATATCGACCGACAAATGACTCGTGTTTACTCATTTAGTCGTTAAATAGATTCAAAACAAGAGAAGGCGAAAATAATAAATAATATATATATATTTAATAAACTGAATTTATATAGATATCATTTTTGGTATGTCAAACAGATTTTCATGCAAGTTCCGATGTCTGATTTAAGAGCAAAGTCTTACCTGCTTACTGGCTATCTAGAGTTACTGATTCAAACATACTATTCTAAACCGTCTGATCCTTTGGAAAACAAGCTCGACAAACCTTATGTGGACATCATCACCCCATCCGATCCAAAACAACGGGGATGTCAGCTCTCACTGATGTTCTCCGTGCCAATTTTAAAAGTATTCGAGGAATTGGAAAAACGAGGAGTTGTGGTGAGTACTGAGTACGAATCATTAGAAATACCCCCGATCAATTGCAGCGTTGCATGGTGTGCTACGAGGGACGCATCGATTGTGCTACACTTTGAGTCCATCGTCGGAATCGGACGGTCCCGTGTCTTCGACCTATAGGCCTTACGATACCGTGCGGGATCGCATTGGTTGTATCTTAAGCAGTGAGATCTGATTGGGCGCGCCTCGAAACAAGGCGCCCAATCAGCTTGGACGTACCAAATTATAAAACAAAATTCCACTATGAAGACATCCTTCCCACACAAAACTGCGTCGATTGCCTGTACCTGATGAGGCTTGAGGGCACGAGCACCGAAAACTTTCGCAATTTTATCATCACAAATATCACGATTCATGGGCGCCGCCATTTTGTTTAAAATGAAACGCCAGAGAGGGATTTGAAACACGCAAACTGATTGGACAATGATTAGCCGCAACTGACTACTGGGGCGCTGTTAGAATACGCATATTTGATGGTCGTTCTGCCAAGGTCTGTTTAGACTTAGACCTTGGCTATTGAAGATTCTTTGAGTCACAATAAGACGATAAGACGGTTGGGTAAACAAAAGTGGGCACACCGTGTTTTATCTATTAGAAGCGCATCTGCAATACAAGTGTATTTAAACCAAAAATTGCATCACTTGTATATTAAATTATTAACATATTTTTATCTTAGAAACACCTCTGTAACTGACGTGCAAATGCTAGCCGAGAATTACATATACTCTCTGAGTGAAAACATTGTGGTATCGCATAATAACTTTATTAATATTCACCCCCTAATCCAGAAATGTTTGGAAGGAAGCCCAAAACTGGATTGGATGTGAAAATTAGAACTTTCTTTCCATGAATTTCATGTACAACGTAAACATGGCTGCGAAGTTGGGAATATCGCATAATGTTTCCATATTTGGAAAACGTATTGCCTAATATGGTAGGATGCAGTTACGTTTAGCCCATGCAACATAATGCGATATGTAAGCATGATCACAATTTATAACCGATATACAGTGTATAATCAAAATATTAACTTTTTTTTTTCTTTTTTTTTTCATTTCAGTGTGACAAGAGAGAGCCAAATGTTATTCGTGTAGCACCGACAGCCATGTACAATTCCTTTACGGATGTTCATAGATTCATTACATTTCTTGGGGAAGCTCTAAATGCCGCGAAATAGTGATTGTCTAGACGGCTTGTCGCATGATGAGTAGATATGAGATTATATTTGCGAGGATAGAATTAGTGTCGGCTATTAAATTGTATTTAACTTCAGTTAAATTGAAAGAACATGGTCTTAATGGTAATTTTATGTAAATGGTGTGCTTTACAATCATTATACACATTAAAGCTTTATATGGCTTGCGTCATTTAGTTGTGAACATGTTTGTACATTATATTTTTAATCTCACATTTAAAGGATGGTATGTAAATGCTAAAATGACGGGAAACAGTAGAACCAATGGTCGCACAGACCTGTAATGTAGTCCAAAACATGAATATGGCGTCTGTGGCTAAAATGCACTGTCTATCAGCACTCGTACTTGCAACTTGCATATCAAAAACGTCGAGAGGGAAAACATTGCTCAGAACTGTCACGTAAAACATTTAAAAGAATAATAATAGAATTATATATGTTACATACGACATTATCACCAATTAAACATATCTAAATTATGTTTAATCCTGACGTTTATCTCTCACTCTGGCTTTCGTGCAGTATGTAGTTAAAATGTTTGAGGCATGTTTTACAAACTAAAATTGGAATGTTGTTACAAACATGTTTCTCACATGTGTTATTATTGATCAGATGCCTGTGAGGAGTTTGGGTCAGTTGATTTTTAGCGGGATAGCATGGTGATGTTCAGTTAACGACGATGTTTTTGCTCAACCATCTGGTTTGAGAAGATACCATCTGAATGCTTTTGATTATTGTAGCTCAGTTCCAATAGGGTTAGTGTGCCAAATTATTAACAGTTTTGCCATGGAAAGCCATTCGGGATCACCGATGGTTTAATAAAAAAAACGACTGAAATAAAAATCAAATAATCAGGTTTGTGATTGACAGAGAGGAGAAATATCTTTGTTTTTTGCAAAAGAGGAGCAACATGGAAATATGTGGACGAATTAGGAGTTGGATAATAGAATAAGACTAAATTTATGTACAAAATGTCGTAGTTGTGAAATTTATAAAATAAAAAGTTATAAAAATAACGTTGCTGCAAATTTTATCAATCCTCGGGGGCGGACATCCGAACATTTTCACCGCCTGGCAACCCTCGCGGTGAAAACAAAGGCCAAAACTCGCAGAAAACGGTACTTTGGGATGGTTGTTGAGACCCCCCTGAACAGTGTAGCAAGATTAGTCCTGCGTGTGTAACATATATAAATTTGGTTGTTCAGGATTACTTCAAAGTTGAGTTTGTGTTGTTTTCTCGAATTTTCACCGGCTCGACCTGAGCCCATAGAAATACAGTGGTGCGCGTCTTAGCGTGGAACGTCTTGTGACGTAGCTCCGCCCCAAGGATATGAGCTTTCTATGTCAAGTTACAAGTTGTGGTCAATAGAGGAGCCAAGGAGATTGGCAGCCCAAACGCCCTCTATCGACGACCCGTTAATATCCAAGCTACCCTATTTTTCTAGGATTATTTTTTCTAGGATTAATAATGGTAAGTTTATTAACACTGAACCACCCCGAACCCTTCGAAAGTCATTATAAAATTCAGACAGATTGGGTTTATTGTTTTGAACAAATTAAAAAAAGGTTAGTACATGTGACAACGTGCTATCGTTCGTTTACAACTTGTATATGAAGTTTGTGAAAAACCTACACAGACTCAACACGTATAATCACATATTCATCTTGCCATCCGAAAATTGGCCTACAGCATTACACCTATAAGACATACATTATCATATATTCACTATCAATGAATTTCCAAAATATATTTTTCAAAACAAAACAAACAGTTGTAATCGAATTCAGTTGAACATGATACAAATTATGTATACTTGAAATTATTGCTTTGTAAGACAACCTTGTCACTCAAAAAATCCATGTCGAGCCTTTTGTATGTAGAGAGCGCCATCAACGGCATAAAATATAAAAAAATAAAAATGTGTACGGTGATGGCGCACCGATGATGTCAAATTGGAACACCTCTCCGAGGTTCACAAAACAACTTAAACTTCCTAAACGATTTACATGGACAATTTTTTATAATATATCGGATATGGTTATACAAATATTTATACACTAGGTGTTATATGGGAGCAAACAAAAATGTGTAAGAATCAATGAATACGCACGTTGCCGTTGTTGATTTAATGATACGTATCAATAATTCCGATACGATCATGTGACATATGTGAAAACAATGGGGAAAAAATAGCACTCTGGCGCGCTCTCACTCATATAGCCATAGCATGAATTATTCTTGAAATCTTGTCGTCTGTACCAGATTGGAGCCGTCGGTGAGGGCGCAGTAACCAACATCCAGCACCAGACAGACACACACGTTACTCATAGAGAGCGCTTCCTGGAAGGAATTATTGTTACGCTTAATCAAGTTTAAACTGAGCTTTATCACGTGTTAATTTATCTGCCAGATCGAGAGATACATATCACCGCCGGGAGACACTACAAGAGAGGTATTTATAGCACCCGTAGTTTCAGTTCCTTCTCTTTCGGGAAGAACATTGCTAGCAACCAAACTATTTTAACTTCTTTTTTTTGTAGGACGTTTCATAATGCTAGCCATTAAATCAGCTCCTATTATCTGTCCACCGCAAATTGATTTTCTTCAGGATTTTAAAGTGACCCTTCATCAGTATTTTGTTGACACCTAATAGAGGTGACTTCACTAAACATAATGATAGAACAGTACACTTCCCAATCACACAGTATTTGCCAATTGCCGTAATTGTATTACCAAAAGTGGGAGTAATCTATCTTATGAATGCGCCAATAACACTATCAAATTCCATCAGATGGAAAGTATATACACCTATCATTGAGTCGCGCCCTCTAGCGACAAACCGCGTCCGTGACGCAGATGCGTGAACGATAAGACGCTAATTGTGGCTGTCCGTCTAAACATTATCTTTGAGAGCGCTGCTTCATCATAAATGACGAACTATACAATAAAACACATTCGCCATTTAGAACGACGTTATGTTGACGTCACATAAGCGTTGTATCACGCGTTATATTTAAACACACAATTTTGTCATAGCTGGAGTACAGATAGCTCCCTAGGTAGCATTACCTATATACTTGAAGTCATACATCTCGGGTTGGAACAAACACTATTGGTTCTAATTTATATTACGTAATCAATTACACGATGTTGCCATATTTAGAATAATAACGAACGTAGAATGTGTGTACAGTCTGAATCTGCTAATTGAATTCAATTAGCTTCTAACAGCCTTTCCTCTATTTTGGGTCAACGAAAGAATGACATTATAATTGCTTTCTGAGGTTATTCTTATATATGTATTCAGAGTTCTAGGAAAATTGTGTTATATAGTTAATAGTCTAAATGTACGCGAATTGTGGTAAATGTATTCTTTATATTCGGGAGGAGACGAATGTTTGTGATTTCATGTGCCTTCGAAAAATGTTTTAAATCGTTAGCAGATACAAATAATCAAATTGAAAACCGAAACCAATGCAACTTTTGGGATGATGTGTTAGTGCCATTAATGTCAGGCGAGGTGTTACAGAAACTCTCGTCCCGATGCCAGAACAATCCACGGATTCCACAGTTATTTGGGTTGTGTATTTTTTTTTTTTACAGAAATCATGTTTTCATTGGCATCAACTGAACGTAAGTCTCACACATAGTCACCATAGTAAACAGTCGGTCCTTGGCCTCATTACCCTGTGTATTGAAAACAGTATACATATTACGATGTCATTTATAATATAATATGTACAGCGACAAATAATGTCAATAAGTCTGCGTAATAATGCGCGTAAAGTACTTTATAGTACACTAAGAGCGATGTACCCGTATTTTTATCTTATATCACACTAAACATAAATATTGTATCAATGCAAACTCCTTTGACGTGGCTGTTATTCTATTATGTTTTACCACGTACGGGTATAAAATGCTGACTACTATACGTATATATATACACAAGCTACTAACTAAATGTTGTGAATGCACTGTCTCTCCAATGTTTGCTAATAGTGTGATGACTTAATTAACGTGTTATAAAACATTAAGCCAGGTACCAGGGTTCGTTACGTTAGCCATCCCTTCACCGAACAGAGACACACACAGATATAGAATTTGTGTCAGCTTCTCGTCTCGGCGCCTCGCGGGGACTGCCTCTGACTCCCTTACATGGAAGTTCAAGATTCTACTCATGTAGCCAATCACACGAAGTACTTAACACGTCATATATACTTGATTAATTGCTCCCCATGTTGGGAAATTACTTCTACTTCGAACCGTTAGTTTATATCGTGGGCGCCACAGTGGCTTAAATAACATTCCATAGTTGACATTTATATCAGTCATTTGTTCCACTAACTGATCCCTTTAACCCCCAAATACGCGGTATAAACTTGATCATGACAGGCTATGACAGGGAAAGTGTGGTTTGATATTGTCCAGCCCTTCGATCAGGTACCAATTATCAAGCGGTCATCAGTGAATGTCGTTATAATTGCAAAAAGCGGGCTCACATCTAAATACATGGAAATATAAATCATGACAATAGCCACGCGGAAACTGAATGGTAATTTAGAGAGCGTAAGTTCCACAATGTTAGCAGGTTATTACAGGAAGAATATACTGAGTACAACAATTACTGTATGACAGTCAACCAGTAGTTTAAGTAGCAATGTGGATAACAGTTCCGGGAAAGGCAGATACATATGACGTACAGGTAATAAGAATAAACATCTTATTCCTCACCAACGTTGCAACATAATGCCAATGCCATAACACCAGCAAAACTGTCGGCGGTGACGTCGCTCTCGGCAGCGTCGACTGAGGGCGCAACACGCCCAGGTAACTGCAAATTCTCTGACAGGTGATGGAGAATTAAATTATGCAAATGACTTCATAACGTTCATCCCCCTAAATGAAATAGTTAAAGCTTACTGAAAATATATAATTATCCATTAACATTATTTTATTGACAAATTCAATTGATTATAACAAGTTTTGTAATTGAGACTTGAATACTAATTTTTTAAACATTTTAGCTCGGCTGCCATCGAAGACGACACAGCGACGAAGCTGATCATATTCCTGTTAACTGTTCGTCCGATCTTCAACAATTTCATCTGCATTTTTTTCTTAAAAAAACAGTAGCCGGAATGTTTTGATGTTTAGTATACAAATACCTTGAGTGAATCTCTCTCAGATTTTGAAAACTACCAGCTCAATTGATTTGATACCTGATATTTCGGCATCTTATGTCAATCATTGAGTCATTACAATTTTTAACAAATATGTTTTTCATGTTAGTAAAAAATAAAACGTGGTCATTCTTGAGATGTTTGTGGAATCACCAATACAAGGGGAGTAGACGAGACTTTTTCACATTTTATCCTAGTAAAACTTTAGAAACAAAATTTGAATTACAAACAAAATATACACATCTGGTGTTTGCATGTTGAACTTCCACGTCTTACACACTCGCACATATACAAACAAATACACAGGTGGCCGTGATATTACTAGGTTGTAGAATTTTGTTTATAATTGTATTATTTAATTAATGAGAGTTTCTGCAATATTACAAATACCGTTGGTATCGGTATTTCAGAGAAGCCCGTGACTTACAACAACATATAATTCCAATAAGATAATTGTTTTGTATAAGAAAATTGTAATATGGATGAAATATTCATCAGGCGGAAGTCAGTGTCGGCCATCTTTTGCGACCCCGGAAATAGTTTCCGCCGCATACACGTTTTATATCTTATCGATACATATATTTATACCTAATTATTTGTTTTACTAATATTTACTAATAGCTTGTACGATTAAAGCACATGCAGCGTAGAGTTATGAGTAAATAAGTATAAATACGATGCCCTTGTAACAATGGACGTACTAACAATAGTATTTCCATGTTAACTTTGAACGTGAATAAATAAAAATGCGCTGTGTTTTTAACGTACGAGACATGAAGCATTATTGAAGCAGCGTAACGCCGAGATGTCAAATCCAGAGTGTGTTTTACAAGCAATCGTCGAATTCTCCAATGAATACGAAGATACACTAATTACACGTACGAGACATGAAGCGTAATTTCACACTGGGTGCTTGCTCTACTACATGTAACTCTTCTCATAGTAAATATAAATAAAAATAAATAATAACAAAATAATTATACATACGTATAACTGCAAATATTATATCAATAAAATATAAAACATGGGTGTGTTCAAAACCTCCATGGTCGTAACTTCCTATATTCGAGATATGCGTGACAACTTAGCCTTCCGCCGTCGATGCATCGACATTCAATAATTCCATCGTTTCCTTGTAACATAGACACCATATACTACCAGCAGAAAGCTTACTTTCATTGAACAATGTACATTAAATACGATAATCCACTAAACTATACCAGAAGGAAAGTATATCGCAAAGAACACGTACAAAATTTAAAAACGTCACTGCGCATGTGCAACGACAGGAATTAACCCGGAAGATTGTTCGCATGACACGGGGTTTCCAAAGAGTAATTACATGTAGGAAATTACGCGACGATATTCAATGTGGATAATGCTTTATACACTTCCAAAACATAATGTCTATGTACGGATTACGCAAGAATAAAATATCTGATTATATTTTACACTTTGCCCATGTCTGAAAAATTACGTTTTTTTTGTTTATTTATTTAAATTACATCATTACGAAAATAAAAACAATGACCATGACTAACTAGCCTCTGAAAGCAAAAGCAAAACAACTAGCGTATTCATTTATTAATTTTTTTTCAATTTCACATGAACTAAATTGATTATTACTAATATCAGTTCTCAATATGAGCCCAGCACATTTCACCAAAGCTTTGGTGCTTCTCGATACATCCAGTATTAACGAAGGCCGTGATTGGCTAGATAGCCTACACTACGTGACCAAGGTTTTTACATGCGGCAACACCGTTCAAAGATGTTGGCGAACAGAACACTGACACATATATACATCCTCTCAGTTGAAACTCGGTTTGGCATGGTGTGATATTTCGTATATTAAAAAATTCGTAAAAGAGGCCACGGTCCGGTCGCTAAAAAAATGGCGCCGACAGCATGAGCGGGAGAATCACTACTTAGGCACGAAACTCTAATTTGTGTGACGCCCCCTCGCCTTACGCATCGTATATATTGTGTTACGGCGTTATGTCGTGGCATCAATCAGTACTATACAAATTCACGTGACTGTAAACGCAAAAACACATAAATTCGTTTGGTATCGCATAATAGGAACAAGATGCGGAACGTACGCCTCTGTTCCAGAGTCGCTCCACGCAACTGATGCGTACATGCCACGCACAAACTGACACACTATCCAGACTATTCCTTAGTCGAGCCTTGTAATGTACAATCCAGCGGTTGCCTAGCTACTTGATTCTGTCTTGTAATGCATAGAAATAGATTGTAAACGCAGTGGTGAATAAAATAAAGACAACTGGGAATACCAGCCTCGAATATCTATCAATCTTCATTGCAGTCTTCAAGTAGAAGCGGCTTTTTATCTTATGCTTGTCGTGCAGCGACTTTGTTGACATGCTCATTGCGTATTCTTTCGATCCTTTCATTCGCAGCCTCAACTCTCCTGTATTATTAGACTCCTCAGCCTCGCCAGAAAATTTCGTCTTGCCGTCAGTTGGTGTATCAATTTCTGTCTCCTGGGGAGTACACAGGAACATTGATTGGGTTATTTTTTGAAAAAAGAATATTTATGTGAATTTATGCCTGTGTTTATGTGAATCATGACGTAGATTTGTGTGAATAATATCGTGAATAATAATAATAATTGGTGTGAATAGTATAACTGTGTATGGTTTTGAAGAAAGAAAGTAACAAATCCTAGCAGTATTGCGCACCACTGAAGGCATTAAAGCATTTACGTCAGAGAATCGCTCGAGGGCGTGACTTTCAAGACAAAAAGTTTGATTTCACCTACTAGTATTCAAATCCATCGAATACTGGGACAAAATTACCTTTCTGGTGCCAATTGAATACATGTCGTGATGTCAAATGCGCAAACATCGCATATACAAATGGAAGTGTAGTTCTTTTACCGTATTCTCACTAAAAAAACAACTCACGTAGGCGTAAGTTGCGCCCCGGTAATTGAAACGAATATATTCTTGATTTCTTACAAGATGCGTGGATATGGCGGCCACTGGATAGTGCGCACACTAGCGCTGACTCCGACGGTAGATTGGCGATATTTCGGCTGACCATATATTTCTGTCTTGTGTACACTATTTCATTCGATCAGTAATAGTTAATAATTCTTGGCCATGTAAAATGTCATGATACATAAATATACATACAAATAAACTTGTTGGAACATGTAGCTAGACTATTTTAGCTCTATGTTGGAACCAGTCGCCAAATTTCGAATTTAACAACGTAAAAATGTCAATATAACAACCTGAATGACCTAAAATTTAACACACATTGCGAACCTGTCAACTTTTAAGTAAATTAAAGTTGATGGTTGAGCCAATATGCCTCAGCCAGTGTTTTTCTTAAGTCGACGTAAGTTACGTATCGCGTGTCGAACGTAGACCGGGTTCTGCGAGTTTTTCGTTTTTCGTGTTATTGGCTGCCTGGCACAAAACACCTATGACTGTTGCTATGTTCTTACTATAATCTGAATAAGTAATATATTACATAAACACTGTTCAGTTCACTCCCGTCCGTCACTCCGCTACTGTCTCATGGCACCATGAAATAGCATTTTCTGTGTGTTACAGTGACATATTTTGAGAAACATATCCTAATAAAATGCTTAGACCGTGCGACAGACCCCGGATAATGTTACTGTAATAGAAACCGCCGTTTTTAAATCTCCAAGCAGACGTGGTTAATCGCACAAGTCTTGATACATCACGAAGACCGTAGTTTCAAGATCCTCGGATTATGCAAATAAAAATGACCTATACATACCGTAGCAGTGTCATCGGGTATACCTCGTACTATTTCTCGCTTACTCGCTCTCACGCTAATGATGTAGAAGTAGTTGACCAGGGCGAATTCTATCAGCGCGGCGAACACGAATAATATGCACACGGAGAACCAAATGTCAATTGCCTGAGAGTGAGACATAGAAATAACACCATCATGAAGAAAACGCCATGAACAAATGAGAGATTCATGATAGGGAACTTGCATACACATAAGTTAGGAATAAAATGAATTGTAAAGTCGAAATAACAAAACAAACATAAATAAACATAATTTTATCTTTGGAGGTTTCTCACCATCAGATACATCCTGTCAAATATGCGTCTTCATAGTGGCCCTGGCGGCTGCTTCTCAATGAACCATGTTCTGTTCACTGCGAGATCCCGCCTTATGCGTGAAATCAAGCATACAAAGGGACAAACAGAGGCCAGAGCACCGTAGTGACGTCAAAACAAATTCGACAAACGCGAAAGTATTTTCTGTGTATTTCCACGACCAATTATGTGACATACACATTCGATGATGGTCAATTTTGCTGATGTAAGTACAGGCTGGAAGGTCATATACCCCTCACGTGAGCTCGGCATTTTGATATTGAACTATAATTAAAGACATTTTGCAGAAGACGTTTTTCCCAATCATTTCACGCATTATGCGAGATTTCGCACTGAATAAAAATTATCTATAATATTTGATGACCTACATTGAGTCGTGGAACCAGTGAACTATCCTGTTTTTTATATCAAGATAATATATGATATAGTCACATCAACAAATTGTAGACTATACAGTAGGCTCTCGCTACCGTCAGGGGGCGTGCACAGTCACTGAGCGCATATTGCACAGTCATGGTGAACTATTCCCATAGTGATGTCACTGAGAATGATCAAACTATTCGTCTCTGCGCATGCGTTTGCGGTGACATCTTTGTTCAGAAGTAAAACAGACGACGAAATTCCAAGTTTTATATATTTGACAGGAAGGGAAATAGCTGACCTACTATCTGATACATATTTACAACAGATTAAGAACACCATATATATCTTATAAATGATTAGCTGTATTACGATCTTCTTCCTGGAAAGGTGTTGAGTGTAGTGAGTCGAACCAACGTTGCGTGTTTCTACGCAGCTTTTACGCTAGAATACGGAAAAGCAGCTGACACCCTAATATATTATTGATTTTTCACGGCGTTGATTAATGTTGTGGTGACCATTCGTTGCCGGTCAATATGTATTCAATTTAACCATATAATTGTGGGACCAATGTGACCGATTTTAAATAAATGGCATTGATAGACACAGATATAACGGGACATTAAAACCCGGCAATCGTTTTTTTTAAAGCCATCCGTCTTACCGTAGGGTAGGAGAGAGCTGGCACCGTGAATCTGATAGTTCCGCTCTGGGTGACCAGGGTGAGTACCGATGTGATGCCCAGTGACGCCCTAGCTGGAGTGGCGTCCACGTGTAGCCAGAACGATATCCAAGAAATGATGACGAGTATTACCGATGGCAGAAACATATTCACAATGAAGAACCCCAGTGATCTATCAAGTCGGAACTCGACTAGTAGTGTTGAGAAATTACCTGCAACACAGTCACAAGGAGTTTCAGCCTTCAAAATTCGTTATATCAAACATGATATTTGAGTGGATTATATCACAATTATTGCGTTAAAATAGCGACAATAATATGGGATGAACAATAATTTAATAGTAATATCGCCACAAAGTGACGCATTTTCTTACCCAGCGGAGGGAGTTCTTCCAAGTTCATGCTTGTCTCAGGGTCCCCCGTTGGCAGGTCATACTGAGGTAACTGGATCTTTGGGTTTATCATTACTGGATTGTACGTTCGCCACTTCAGAGTCACGTGCTTGTCATTGTATGCGTCTGTGGCAAAACGCGACATGAGTGTAAAACGTTGAAATGAACAAGTAAATTCAGTAGATAGTGAATTAATAATGATAAATGTTGTCAAATTCAGAATTATTTACAAAACACGCAAAGTATTGAAATGAATATAAACGGGGCAAAGTGCTTAAATACAACATTTGCAAACATCTTCTGGAAACCCAAACAATTTTTTTCACCACTTGCATAAAATTATCATAAATATATGCCATGCATTAAACATATCGACAATATTGATATGGCGGTTAGACATAAATGGCCGTCAGAATCTCGTCGAGATCTGTATTTCTTCGATTAGCGTTTTATTCTTTTCCGTTATCGCGCCCACTATTTCAAATACCGTGGTGACATAAGCCAAGGGAACAGTGGACGCGATGAAAAACACGTTTCGCGGTTCACTTGATTTCACCGAGATCTCGGCGACCATTTATATATATCGTATATTATGCAAATGATATGCACACTTACAGCTACGTATCAGTAGAGGACAGTGCTGAATGTCGAGGGGAAATAAATGGAGCTCCATATAACATGTTAATACAAGAGTCAATCTGAAAAGAAAACGTAGTGAATCCATTGTAAGTTTCCCAGGTTGAATTAACTGCAGGATAAAAATGACAAATCAGAAAATCTCCACGATTTGATGGGTTTATGAAAAGTTCGGAAACCGCTTTAGCTACTGTGTCACACGCAACGTAATATTACCGTAATTGGTATAGTACAGGTGTGATGGTTCAAATACCAAAATGGCAACAGTAACATAAAGACTTCCCTGGCGCGATGATAACATACGAACACGGAGCCAACAGATGAGGTTTCAACTGGCACTGGTATTATTATACTCTGCAAACATCAAGTACAATAACGCGGTAAAACTCCAAACCTCCAATAACTAGATACTTAAACTCCAACACAATTCAACTAGACCTCCGATCCGATCTCAGTGCTGAACAACTCCCCTATATATACCCCCCACTGTCTATAAATAGACCATTACATCAACATACACAATGAGTCTGGAACTTACTACACATTTCTAGAATGTTCCACTACCTTCTATTGCCTCATACAGTGTTCTATTATCTATTCAACCAGTTTCTAAAAAAAATCTAGAATATTCCACCCAGACACAGTACGGTTCAAGAACATTCTCAGTAACACGGAAGTGGTAAATAAGTCGTATGCGACATACTGCTTGTACCGTGTTGGTCGTCGCGTAGCGCTTTTTAATTCTTTGTAAGATCTTGTAAGTAAACAATGTAGTTTACACGCGTTCTATATCTCGAACAGACCATATCAAAAACAACGCGTGGCGAAAACCACCGCCCATAAATATAGTCGTTCATGTATGAATTGTGCCGTATGTTTTATCAGGGTAACATAACTGACATGATATTGGGGCTGTTTCCGAGTTGATCGGCGTGAGTGAATTACTTTTTCTGTTAAAAAGACTTTCGGATTGCAGTCTTGATACCTACAACTACGAAACGTCCATGCCAAATGGCGGTCAACGTAAGATCAATAGGGTATTTCCCAATATGCAACATGTTCTATCGACATTTCATCCTTTTCAGGATTTTTTTCTATTTTAGTGTCAAAATGTAATCACTTGACTTGGAATAAAAAATGTCGACATCCCACACCAATCTGTTCCACTGACTAAATTGTAACTAAATCGCCAGAGGTTTGTTTATCAGTGTTGTCAACAAGCGACTAAACGACACATCTTGTTATCGCCATTTCATTACTCACAGCACAGTTATAGGTTGATGGAACGGTATTTATCATATTCATAGTATTTGAATGAGATTTCGGAGGCCATTTTCATCTAGTGTCTATAGAGGGCTCACTCACCTTGTCTTATATGTTATAGTACCAGATTGCTGAAGCACCAACGCAATGTTCTCAGAAAGAACAACGTGCAACTCTCCGTTCTTCTCGTTCACGAAGTAGATATCTGGCAGCCAGAATTGTTTAATTGATTCGACCGTCTGAAATACCAGATCCGTTGTGTTGTGAACCAATCGGATGTCTTCCCACTCAAGATACACATCAACATTCATAGTGTATTCCTAGAACGGTAACACACATATACGTTTGATCCGTTTACACCAGTAAAGGTATTACTGCGATAAAGACTTTCCATTTTCGGTATTGTGAAATTCCTTTGTTTTTATGCAGAAAAATACAGTGCAGTAAAATCATATTTATTAAAGTTATTCTTCGTACATAAGACAAACAATAGGCAAAAATATATAGAATATAGCAAATTATGTTTTTTCTGTAATATTCTTGTGTAATCGGTAATTATGAAAAGTATTCATAGATGCATAGGGAATTATTATTAATAAAAGTTTCTGAATTCTCTTGTCTTGTTTTCTCAGGGGTTTTTCTCTCAAAACACGAACAAATTTCACAATGTCATGTGTTTTGTATATATGCATGACTCAGGTTCGGCAATGCAATCAAATATACGACTTATCTTAAACGCCAAATTAGCCAAAATTACACAACCAGTCGTTCACTGTGTTTTCTATACTCCCTCCCGAGTGTAATATAGTTTCTCGTTCTGTCGTCACCTGCGCACGCGCGGAAATTGGGACAACGCGCGATGAAACGCAAAGGCTCATGGGCGTCTGCCGCATGCGCACTCAGGAGCCCACTCTCCCGCTTAGGCAAGAATATCAATATGCCACAATTGCATATTGTGTTCCCCTTCATCAGTGTGTACATTAATACACACAAAAATGTTATATTTATGATTTGTAAAGGTAACCTGGATGCTACACCAGCATTCAGTACTAAACTGAAGCTGAAACACTCGAATCAATTGCATAGTGCCCCCTAATTTGTTTACGGGACTGACACTATCGCGTAACACAGTAAACAAACGACTAGAATCGCAACACTCCCAGTCAGGAGTACTATGAAATGGGAAATAATGAAAAAAATGTGTTAATTATGCAAATGAACTAAATCTTCTCACCATCGACATGGCTGAAATAGATCCAAAACTGTCCACAGACACATATACTGTCACAACAACTGGATCACCTACAGGATAAAAAAAATAAAGACACTGATGTCATAATTGCGCATGTGCACACTCTAATCATCCTCGGATCTTCTGTTCTCTGATTGGTCTTCCGAACATCGAGCTCGTTACGCTTTCTTTCAAACGTGAGGAACCCAAAGTCATATAAATATATAGTATTTTCTCGTTACTTAATATGCACAGATTAGCCCTACAATTAATTACTGTTCGATTTTGATTATTTACAGCGACCTTCGCAATCCCAAATTTGAAAAAAAAAAATCCGAATTGTAAAAATTGTTGATAAACATCTCGATGTAGATACATTGTACGTACATCTTCACATCGTTGGCAAAACGCGATAAATTTTCTATTACATTCATGTGAGGTAACCCAGAAACAAAATTTAATATAACCATCTAATGCCTCATTAATTCAGAAAAAAACAAATGGCAGGGAAAAGGGCAAAGGAAACATGATATGTGTTGCTTTTGGTTTATATATGTGTCAATTGTGAAATAAATACGTGGTAAATTTTCAAACAAATTCCCAGAAAAGTATTCCTATTTATTAACCATTGATTTATGCAAACAACATCGTTTTCGTCCGGGTAGTTTTCGAGGAAGTTTCAGGAGTTCACGCAACGGCAATTTAAGCAACAGCAACGCCCTATTACCAGAGCAACGCTTTGCTGGGAGTTTGTTTTCAGTTATTTCACGCTATTATGATAGGTAACTTCAATATTTCACAATTACTCAGTTTTTAACACAAAGTCCAACACAAACAGCCAATAGACTGAGCACAAAACACGACGCGTTGGGATGACGTCAGTAAGATATAGATCTACCTTAACACACATAGCACCCATAACACATCATTTGGAGTTGGTAATGTGCTGTATTTACTAGCTTCTTTGTAAATGCGTCCCGGCTAATGACGATCATCGTCCGAATCGCACGGTTTCGCTAAAGCCGGCCATTCATAACCAGCCCACGAACCCGTGCGTGATCGTGTTAGGAAAAGCTGTATTTCACTGCAGTATATTAAGTAATTTGATTGGGCGCGCCAATGAGCTGGCGCTACCAATCAGCGTTGCTGTATCATACATTTGAACGTCTGGGGTCATCACAGATTAAAACAATGGCGGCGTGCAGGATTTGCACTAATTCACTGCGAGTCAAGAACAGAAAGGTCTATATTCGTTGACAGGTTTCCAAAATGTTTTATTACAACGTTGAAAATGTCTTGTGGGCAATTGAATGAAGACGATGGAATGTCTAAACATTTGTGCAAATCGTGTTTCATTAATCTGTCGAGACTGATAACATACCGACTTGCCCGATCCGGTCTTCGTTGCAACAAACCACGGTTACTAGTTGTAGTTCTAGGAACCGTGAACAAACACATCGTTTCCCTCATATACAGCACTAATTGATGGTTAGTAAGCTCGTTCTTAGTTCGTTGATTTCTATATTCCCCTATTTTAAATTTACCAAGTATTGTGTCGTTTATATCGTGAGTTCTTATTGGGAAATGCAAATGAGCCCGAGTGAATCTTATAATCGCTTGAGTGGGTGCGACATACATTAAATTGTAGTGAAATCTGCGAAGGGTTAATGTTGAGGCTTCGGCTGAATAAATGGTCCTTGGCTGGCGACGATGAATGGCGATGTAAAAAAAAAAAAATTGTGAATCGAAAATGTATTATAGAATCGTCAGGAAAACGTTTACGCATTCACCAATGCGGGACAATTTTGTTACTGCAACAGCATATATTAACAGGCTCGTAACCGCATAGCGTTTTCCTTTCTGCGCAGTGAGTGTTGACATTGTATCATAGCGCTAAGTTTGCTGAAATGGGACTGACTTGTAATTAAACGTGTCAATTGTCATTAATTGCAGCACGCGACGGCTTGTCATTTGGAAGTGTAATGATTTTCGCCCTGAAAGTATGTTTTTGTGAAAGCAAAGTTGGCGCAAAATGTTTCCGTCTACGTGCCGGCCGTTCTATCAACGCGTGACACGACGCGAGGCGAGGCGACTTGGGATGGCGCGGCGCTGTGTTAGCTAAATATCAATGACGCTTTCTTTCAGACAAGATTTAATGCACTCTGTCATAGCTAATGATTGCAGCCGATGCCTCGGCAACTAATAATTGTTTGCTAAACACATATGATTATGATTTTGATTACATTACCGTGCAGATGTGGTCTGAATGTACTAATTTTGTCTTTGCTCAAAACTTTCGACATCAGTCGGTCATGTTCGCTCATTAAACGATGGTCATCGTCTTCTTCCACCGTGCACATCACATGGCAAATACAGGACACCAAACTGAAATTAAAAAAACACACCATTATTTAAGTACGTATTTTGAAATAATATACAACTACAAACTGTATAGCCTCGTTCACACTAGTGTTTCAATTGAATTATTTGTTTCCAAAGCATTGCGATGCTTCTCTACAATGTGAACATATTTTTAGTATGAACCAACCTGAAGCATTTGTACTCGTACACCAATGAACATTCCACGTGATAAAAACTTACCACATGTCCGATTTACAATTTGCGTGTTCATAATTCTGCAGACAAGTCGTCAACGTTTGTTAACTCAGCGGGAATATTCGTTTAAAGGAAATTTGTCTAAAAATGAACATTTTTGCAAATGGGGACGCTCTGCATCGATAATGTTTAGCTTTGTGGTCGACCGTCAACAATAAAAAAAATATATTTGAGATTTGACGTTGGCACAACCAACCAGAGTTGTCTATTTTAACGGCTTTGCTTACAGTCATCGGCACAGAAGCGCCACGTTGTGTTTACACCATTTCTATAAATTGAGCCCTCTAGTGGCGGAGCGCTCCTGTGAAGTCAGAATGACGTATATTGGTGAAGGCAGTGTCGAATCGACAACTGTGTTTGCAGTCGTTCATTTTCTAGATTATAGTAAAATCTCTCTCTCTCTCAAAAAAAAAAAAAAACATCTTCATTGATGGGCGACTACGGATCAATACGATATCGAAGCTTTGAACGGCTTTTATATCACCCATTTACGTCACAGAATCGCTCCGTTACTAGAGGTCGCGCTTTATAGAAAGATGTATGGGTAAAGTGCATGTGAAATGCCCACCTACACAATTATGTTTTTGGTTTGTATTTCCTGAAATGAACATGAAATGAATAATAAGTCATCTTCGAGTGAAATTGAAAATAAAAAGATTCCGAGTTATAGCCACGTGAATCAGTCGACTGTTTCCGGCTTTCCGACTTCTTCCGAAATGAAACTGTGCGCCACTGAACGTTATACAAACGGGAGAAGCCATGCCAGTTGCATGCTCTAATTACCATAAAAACTCGTAGTTAGAAAAATATTCTTTTACAAGTGTGTGGATTACTAGCCTGCTAACATAAGTCGTGAGTTGTTATCTGAAATTAATAGAATATTTGGAAAGAGCTTTGACATGGGGTGATTATATCTGTCATTTTATTTTATTGTCCGGGTGCAATAAATATTATCAAAAATCGGTCTTCTTGCACACAGTCAGTATCCCAATACGTGATCTCTAACATACGTTTGCCGCTTACTTAATAATAATAATAAATAATATAATCAGAGCGTGACTTTTGGCATTTTGACTCTCTAGATGTAGACGTCTTTATGTCAAATGCAAGACATGATTAAGTAGAAACATACACGGGGCATGATATATGTTCTTATAAGTAAGATTCGTGATTGCATTTGCGCTAAGACCAAAAGATAAAATACAAAAAGTGTGTACATTATACATCTAATTATCTAGTATTCAAATATTTGTTTAAATTCCCAGTATGCCACTTTAACGAAAATCTCGTTACGGTAATACTTGAAATGCATGTGTGTTGCTAAAGATAATTGCCGAAATGTAGACATACAATATCGCTAAGAATGTCTAACTCCATATTACGTCACTAGTCGGAGTTATCAATTATATCATCAAACCAGCAGCTGTCGAGCCAAGCTGTTGGAAGTAAAATATTGCTTTTCACCACCCGGAGATTAGGTTGCACTTCACCGCTCCTCGTGTATATTTTCAAATTACTGGACTATAACAACTATCATGTTTTGACTAGGAAAGGAAATTAGATGAGAGAATCAGTCACGTAAGCACCGAGTATGCATCTATTAGTACATAAACAAACACAGAACTGAATAGCCTGAGGCAATCAAGTGTACCCGGGGTAACGTACATTCAACACTGTGTAGTAGTTCGAGGAGTAATGTATATTTTACAAGTTATTAAGAAAATGTTGTGTACCCGGAGTAATCTGTCAATGTAATATATGGCAGACTATTTTAGGAATTGCAGAGTATATATTTTACATCTTATTTGTTTATATTTAGAATAATATATTCAATATTCATCTTTCATTATCGGATGAGAGAGTTTTCCAGCACACCCCAATGACATCAGTTATTTATGGTGGAAATAAAACACGCTTCCTACTCACTAATAAATTAAGTCATATTATAATAGCTCATGATGTAATGGAATACAATTACGTTGAATTAAATACTAATTTGCCTAATTCATTAATCTTACAATAAACTTAAACGATCCCACAATGAACGCTTATAGTCAATTATATTTGCCAAGAAAACAGTATAGAAATTCGTGTTATAAATCGCCATTTTTAGAATTAAAGTTTTCTTATGGCGTCATAACTTTACATTATCACACGATAATCTAAACCTCTAGTCGCAATCAAATTCATTCCATCATCATTCGTGGGGGGCCCACGTGTAGTGGTGGATTATAACAACGCTAATGAATCCGTGTAGCGTCATATTGGTTCATAAAAGAGTTTAGATAATCGTTTTGGCTTTGCTTCACACAGTATCTTGTAAATGTCGTAGACCCCTTTCTTCATCTGGTATGCTAACGGCTATCTAAGGACAATTAGAGCTTAGTGAAACGCATGACAGCTTAGTACGAACAAATGGCAGTCTAATACGAACACACGAGGAAACAGTACGAGCAAAAGTCATTCCAGTGAGAACAAATGACAGCTCAATGAGAATAAATGACAAAATAGTGAAAATCAAATGAGCACGAACAAATGACAGCTCAGTACGGACAAATGACAGCTCATTAAGAACAATGACAGCTTAGTAAGAACACATGACATCTTAGTTTGAACAAATGACAGTTTAATACGAATAAATGACATCTCCGTGAGAGCAAATGACAGCTCATTGAGAACGAATAACAACATATTAAACAAGCCATGCATGGCACAATCCCCGTTAGTTATCAAATTTAAGATATCTAGTTTTCTTTATAGTAATATAGCTGGAATATAACCATGTCAAGAATATGATTTTTTAACATTAAAATGATTGACATTTGTATCTGATCGTCAAACAAGTACTTGTCCATATTGAGAAATATTGCTCTGGAACAGCATTCAAAATCAGCCATTTTGAATACATGTATATATATAACATGTATAACGAATATATAAAATTTAAATATAATAAGTCAAAGCATTTAAGAGATATGGCTCTAGAAGCCCAATCATTAAAACAAAATGGCCGCCAGTCAGCCATTTTGAATCCGATCTGAAAAATAAATGATGTGCATCTGGAACCTGTAATGTCTAATACATGTACCAAGTTTGAACGAAATCCATCCATAAATGCCAGAAATTCTTGATATTTGATGATTGTTTAGCACAAAAAAGGCCACCATTTGGCCATTTTGAATGGGATCGTCAAACCAATATATCTGTCTATCTATAACATGATGTATAATGAATATTTAAAATCTGAACATAATCAGTGAAAGCAAGTCAGAGATATGGCGCGAGAACCACATTCATTGGCCAGTCGGCCATTTTAAATCTTATCTGAAAAACAAGGTCCCATAATGTCTATTGTATATACAAAGTTTGAACAAAATCCATCTGTAAACAGCCGAGAAATGCTTGATTTTGATGATTGTTAGCACAAAAATGGCCGCCATTCGGCCATCTTGAATCAGATCATAAAACAAAATGATGTGCATCAAGTTCCTATAATGTCTAATGCATATACCATGTTTGAACAAAATCCATGTGTAAACAGCCGAGAAATGCTTGATTTTGATGATTTTTAGCACAAAAATAGCCGCCATTCAGCCATCTTGAATCAGATCGTTAAACAAATTGACGTGTATATGTATAATATCATGTATGATGTATGTGTGAAGTTTGATTGTGATTGGTCCAGGCATTTCTAAGATACAGGTCCGGACGCACGCACAGACGCACGCACGGACACACGGAGGTCAAAACATAAGTCCCCGTTTTCGGACTGTGTCCGAACGGGGACTAAAAATATGAACAAACCTGGTACAAACAAATGACAGCTCAACACGAACAACTAACAGCTCATTAAAAACAATGATAGCTTAGTAAGAACAAATGACAGCTCAGTTGGAGTAAATGACAACATAGTAAAAACATATGCCAAATCAGTACGAACAACTAACAGCTCATTTAAAACAATGACAACTTAGTCTTATTATCCGATAAGTTTCAATGCAATGAGTTAGTGAGCCATATATATTGGTAGATATGTTGATTCATGTGTTGCTAGAATTCTTACATCACGTGTGCAATGGGCGACATCATTGCCAATTAGCATAACAATGCCTCAACAAACCGACGCGTTTAGATTATTAATGAACGACGGTACGTTGTGCATAATTTAAAAGCATGGCATCTCAGGTGCCTTTTGAATAACAGAAACACAGAAAACATTGCCGTGCGATGCGATGGGTTTGGCAAAGTAGACATGAACTGCAATGAACGAAAATAATACACGTGTTTATACATGAAGCTTTAAGTTACGTAGTTACGTAATAATGGTATTACAGTTGTTTTATACATCGATATTAACTAAACTTATATTTAGTAAACAGCGAAAAAATGTTGCTTCTAGAATTAAATAGGTTACAATGTTTAATCGATTTTAATGACGATGAACAGACGCAGAACTGTGGGCAAATGTCAATTAAAAAAGATGTAGTGGCATCTATTTACACTCGGAAAACAGCAAGTATTGTGCTCCGTACAACATTTTTGGATAATTTTAATAGCAGATTTTGAAAAGGCTTTTGACACGCTGAGTTGAAATCTTGTTATTCGCAGTCACTCGTATTTTCAGATTGGCTCGTTGTTTATATCGTTGGTATTATATTATTTATAACGGCCTGTAGTCGTATCTGCTGTGTATTTAAAACAATCCAAAATGGCGGCCAAGTACAGAACAGCTTTATTTGCATAATCTGAAAATAACATAGTTACTGAGCAGCGTAGGGGGCGTAGGGTTTTCAAATTAACTTGCATAGTAAAATACATTACAGTATCATACATTATCTCAGAAAAGTTCGACGTTCTTACGCGACGTCATACTGGTGGGATATTTGTGTAGAATTGTTGGCCATTCGCTTTAGGACGTGTTCAATTTTTAAAGGTCGTATTTAGGGATAAATAACAAAAAATATTGTATGCGTATTTTTCAAAGGCGTAT